CCACCACAATCCCCCAGGGCACAGAGCTTCAGGATAGCAATGGGTCTTCTCACTCTCTCTTCTCCCCTCCTTCTTTCTCTGTCACAATTTCCTCGGTGCTTTCCCCACCTTAAAATAAAGTGTGTGTGTGTTTGTGGGGAATTCTGAGCAAAGGTATTATAACGAAAAGCAAAGAAAGCAACCCATACAGCCCTTCCACCCACCGAGTGCACCAGGATGCAAGTAGGCTCCATCTTAGGGCCGAGAGAAGAGCCACAGTGGTCGCACTTTTGGGCCAAGAGATATTGCAAAGAGGAGAGAAAACACTGGGGACACAGTTCCACTCCTCCTTACTTGCTCCCTTCGGCAACAACTCCTCTTTTGCACCCAAGCACTTGGGGTTCGTGGTTACAATGTCTTTTAAAGAGCAGGATGTGGGTTTGGAAGGGAATGTGGTACATTAAAACCAGCATCCAGGTCTGTCCGAGGACGCTGGTATTTCTGGTTCAAAAGCAGCTCCAACTGCCCTGAAGAAAGAGAAAACGAGACCCAGAAAGAAAAGCGAACTGCTTAGCGATTGCTGAGGGACTCCAGCACGCGCAGTTGTCTGTCTGAGGACACCTCTTTTCACACCGACAAGATCCGGAAAGGACTTCAGGATGCTTTCAGCCTACAAAATGTTGAGGCGCCCACGTGTGGCCTTGTCCCCCTCACTCGCGGATGGAGGTCCCCAAGAGAGGCTCCTGGAGCACGTCCACGAAAGCAGGGCGCTGCGTGGGGAGAGCCCACCTCTCAACAAGGTGTCTTTGCTGAGCACAAGAGCCTCTAGGCCCAGGAGGTCTGGAGTGGGAGTGGGTTGAAGCTGGGGCAAGAAAACTCGACTCCAGGCTGAAACGTGACGTGCAAATCTTCACCGGGTTAAACAAACAGCCGAGCAAGCTGCAGCTTCAGCGGGGGTGGCGGTGGGGGCGGACGCAGCTCGCGCGGGTCTATGTTTCCAAAGTTGTTACAATGTGAAAATAAGCGGCTTCGTGCAGCGTGTTGTATGGGTTGATGCCTCCCACCCCCACGCCAGCCCCCTGCGAAACCCGGCAGATAATCAGCGCTTCCCACTGTTTAGTCGTATTTGACAACTGGGTTAACCTGGTATCTAGGCGCTGGCGAAACGGTACAAAGGGTGCCCTCAATTACCACTAGAAGCTTCTGGTGTGAGTGGCACTTGTATTGCCCCCCGGGTCAGAGGCCAGAGCGACAATTAGGAAGTCACTTAGACCTCTGGGGGAAATAGCGGGATGCGCCGGCTCCAGGCCCTCCCAACAAGTCTGTGGGTGTAGACCTGGACGGAGAGGCCTATTTCTCTCCTCTCAGAGGAGCTGTCCTTTCGCGCCCTCTCCTCAATGTGACTCTGGAGCGGGTAAAACCGAATCCAGTGGGGAAAAGGAACTGAGTAGAAGACAAACGACAATGATAAAATTGCGAGCGAGAATGATGGATCCCAGCTGAAGTTGTGCTCCGCAGGCGAGAGCCTAGATACACAAAGTGAGCGTTGACATTTCCGTCTTTACTTAGGCCTTGCTGGTGCGGCCTCCGCCTCGGCGCCCCCTCCCCTCTTGCCTTCTTTCCCACAAGTGGGGAGTGGAGTAGGACTGTCAGTTCTAACTTGCATCATCTCGGGGTGGTTCGGGGGGCTTGTGGCTTGGTCTCAGCGCTACTTAAACCTGGCTTGGTGCGTGTGTGTAAATTTTTAATTGCACTGTAATTTCTTCAGTCTCTAGCCCGCGCCCCCTCCCCCCAACACCTCGCTAGCCGCCTTGACTGGCACGCGCCGGGAGCCCTGGCTTGGGCCCCTCGGCGCGTCTGATTGGCTGCGGGGCAGCTCCCGTCTGCTCCGCCTGCGCCCTCATTGGGCGAGAGGCGCAGCCAGCGGCACTTCAAAGCGGGTGCTCCTCGCACTTAGGCTGAGTTTAGCCGGCGGGAGCCCGGAGTCCGCTCGGCGCGAGCGCGGGGACGCGGGAGCTGCGCGGGATCCGAGCAGCTTTCCGGAGCAGCCGTCAGGCTCAGCCCCGCTCCCGGCCCCGCCGCGCAGCCCAGGGACCTGCTATGGCCACGTCTATACTCGGGGTAAGTCGGAAGTGCGGCAAGGCATTTGCTTGTTTTAACTGCAGTAAATTTTCGTTATGGCTTCTCTGTGTCCGCGGCTCCGGAGAAACTGTTGCTGCCGGACTGCAGCTTCAGCTCCTTTTAGCACTTTTCACATTTCTGGGACTGATTCTTTCCAAGTTATTGAAACCTAGGAGATGCCTTTGTAAGAAAATGATTTGTTAAGCAAGTCCTTTTTTATGTGGCTTTAAAGAAAACCTAGAGGTTTCTTTTCTTCCCCTGGTGATTTATACCCCATCCCCCCTTGCTCCGGGGATTGTTGCAATTACGCGACAGTGGTGTTTCCAGAAAACAGCCTTAATCGTTTTGCAGTCCGTGTAGTCACGTTAACAAACATTTACACTTCTGTGGCTCCCCAGTTCGCTTGTGACTTTGAAATCCATCGCTGGGTCCCTTCTCCTCGGATTTTCGTTTTCATAATCGAGGGGGTTTTTTTTGGGGGGGGAGTGTAAACATTAACAACAACCTTTTTCTATTTAAAAAAAATAAAGAGTCAAGTCGTAGCCACCCTTGGAAGCAGTGTCCCAAGTTTCCCCCGCCCCCGAGCCGCTGCTTCGGCCGCCTCCGCCCTCACCCGGTGTTTGTTGTCGTTGTGTTTACTTCCGTGCTTTACTCCGAAGGGCTATTTGGGGGCCTCAGTGAGAGGAGCGGGCTTACGGCGAGCGGGAGGCAAGCAACCCGAGTCCGGCCCTGGGTAGGGGTTGCAGCGGCTGAGACCGGGAGAACTGAGACATCTTTGATTTCTAGGCCCAGCGAAGAGCAACTTTCCAGCGCCGGGCCCCTCGCCCCTGGGAGCGGCGCATCCTTGGCGAGCGCGCGGGGAGGAGGCGCGAGCCCGGGAGCCACGACCCCCCGGGACCAGCCGCGGGGAAACGAGGCTGCTCACGGGTGCACTTTGTGTCTTCCTCCCACTTCTTCCTGCCCTCCTTCTCCTTTGCTCCCTCCCTCACCCCACCCACTCTAGGAAGAGCCGCGCTTCGGAACGACCCCGTTGGCCATGCTGGCGGCGACCTGCAACAAGATCGGCAACACGAGCCCGCTGACTACACTGCCGGAGTCGAGCGCCTTCGCCAAGGGCGGCTTCCACCCCTGGAAGCGCTCCTCGTCCAGCTGCAACCTCGGCTCCAGCCTCTCGGGCTTCGCCGTGGCCACCGGTGGCCGCGGCTCGGGCGGCCTGGCGGGGGGCTCGGGCGCAGCCAACAGCGCCTTCTGCCTGGCCTCCACGTCCCCCACGTCGTCCGCTTTCAGCAGCGACTACGGCGGCCTCTTCTCCAACTCGGCGGCGGCCGCGGCGGCGGCGGCCGGAGTGTCCCCGCAGGAGGCGGGCGGCCAGTCGGCCTTCATCTCCAAGGTGCACACGACGGCGGCCGACGGCCTGTACCCGCGCGTGGGCATGGCGCACCCGTACGAGTCGTGGTACAAGTCGGGCTTCCACTCGACGCTGGCGGCGGGCGAGGTGACCAACGGCGCGGCGTCGTCGTGGTGGGACGTGCACAGCAGCCCGGGCTCGTGGCTGGAGGTGCAGAACCCCGCTGGGGGGCTCCAGAGCTCGCTGCACTCGGGCGCCCCCCAGGCCTCGCTGCACTCGCAGCTGGGCACCTACAACCCCGACTTCAGCTCGCTCACGCACTCGGCCTTCAGCTCCACGGGCCTCGGCTCCTCGGCCGCCGCCGCCTCGCACTTGCTCTCGACCAGCCAGCACCTGCTGGCTCAGGACGGCTTCAAGCCGGTGCTGCCCTCCTACTCGGACTCCAGCGCCGCGGTGGCGGCCGCCGCTGCCAGCGCCATGATCTCGGGCGCCGCGGCCGCC